TAAGAGGCCATGGCTTCACTGAGGCACCCATTTTTGGAGAGATTCTTCAAGCGGACATCTAATTTTGAGTCTGGTTGGAGGGGCATTTTTTAGGAGGAAATAGTGGGATCTTTTAAATGGTTTACTGGGAAGCTCTGTAACATTCGAGCATGCCTCACTCGGTCTCGAGCATTTAGCGCCTCCAGCTCCACTATCTGATTTATTGGGAACGCCCTCTATAAATTCATCACTCTTTGAACTCCTCCAATGCCACTCGCTGTCGATAAAAGAAAATCATTGCATTATTTTTTATATTTAGTTAAGAAAACTAACCAAAAATGGATTATCTTCAACAAGTTTTGAAAAATCTACAATTTTTACACTAATAAAAGCACGATAAATACAAAATTCGTGCAATGCACGTGAAAACAACTAGTTGACAAATGAAATAGAACTCTACCCAATTTTGACCAATTTAAAAGGGTAAATTTGCTATTTAACCCAATAAAAGAATTAAAATAACAAAAACAAAATGAAAAGTAAAGGAAAAAAAACCAGCCACTACCAAACCACCGATCATCGCCAAACCAATAGCCCCTCAGCTACCATCCAACACTGACCCTCAGCCCCTTAGCTACCAGCCACCACTGACCCACACTGTTGAAGAATAGCCACAACAATGGTGGACACCACCGTTGAAGATTAGTCACAGCAAAATGACAATAACGTTGAGCAAAATGGCAATCGAAATTTTGAGAAAAACGACAATAATTTTGGCTAGATTTGGTGCAAATTTAGACCATTTCCGTGCGTAGGTGTATATGTATGTAAACTAGAGAGCCAGAGCTACTCGATCAATGGTTCTGACGATGGCTCTAAAGGAACGAACGCTCAAATCAATCATCCAGCTATCAGACAACCAGCTCGACCTTTTCACCGCCTCCTCTAGGTTTCTCTTTATGGATGACAAAGTCGTCCCAGTCGAGCCATCAACAAAGGGAGCCACCAAAATCTACTTCACAACAATGCCTGAGCTTCATCTTTGCTCTTCCTCAAAAGTTGGTTGATGTTGCTGGTTTGGCGATGTCGGTTGGTGGTGGCTAATGTTGATAATAATGTAGGGAAATCTGAATACATTAATGAACTCCAAGACACGAAATGAAACGTTATCTTTTAAGAGATATTTCTCCCCTATTCAACAAAGTTACAACGGGGTATAATAGAAAATCTCTCTCAGGATACAATGGAGGCGTTTGATTCAAATTGTGACTATTTGATCAAACCAAGAAGACACTCGAATATAACTGATTGATGCCAAGAGAAAGAAGGAAAAATAAATTGTTTTAATGTATTTGCAAATGAGAATTCGTCCAGAATTTATAGACATTGAGGCAATTGTTTGAATAGGTGTATCACTTGGAAGTGACTGTTAAAAATGAACAGATGCACCTATTCAAAAGCTTTTGAAAATAAAATTCTCTTTCGGAAACACCCCCGAGCCCCCACGACCTGACCGGGCAGGTCGAACCCCGTTGCGCAGCAGCAAACACTAATCCGGGCGGCAAATTATTCGCAAAAACAAAAATTAAACACATGCAAAATGATGAAAAATATATAACAGCTAATGGCTAAAAGGAGTTGTGGTGGTGGGTGGTGGCAGTGTGATTTTTTTGGTTTTGATTGGGGATGGGGATGGGGATGGGGTTGGGGTTGGGAAAGATGGTGAGTGTGTATGTGTCATTTTTTGATTTTTTTGATTTAATTTTTTAAATTATTTTAAGAATAGGATAGAAAGTTACTCTTTTACCTTTTTAAATTGGTTAAAGTTCAATTTTATTGATCAACTAACAATCAAATTGGATTGTTTCCGTTCATTTGGACCTCTGCTGCGAATTTATGGATGGTTTGGGATTTTGGTTGGCAAAAAGTGAAGGTTAGGATTTCGGCAAAAAAACTCAAAAGTTTGGGATCACTGCTGCAATTTTCCCTTAAAAATAAATAATAATTAAAAATGGGGAGACAAATGATTTTATATTTTTTTTAAATTTCCATGTCGTTACACCTAATAAAAGTCGTCAACAAGGCAAGGATAGTAATGCAATCCCGGCCGATTCTCTATTGCTATTCATCAATAGCCTTTGTTTGAGTTTCATTCTTTTGAAAAAATGTATTTTTTAACAGTGTTTTAATATCATTTCAATCACACATTTTTCAATAAAATAATATTATACACAAATCTAAAATTTTTCCTTATTTTTTAACTACACATTTCTTATCAATACACTATTCAAAAATTCATTTTTCTTCAAAAATAGGGCTCAAACAAGGGCATAATATCTAAATATGTTAGGTCTAAAATTGAAGGTGGAGTCTTTAACCCTAAATCATAATATGGAACCAAATTTGTGGTGTTGAGTTCGTATTTTATTAATGAGCTATGGCGCAATAGTTTGAACTATAAAAATCTCATTCAAGAGCACGAGTTCACTTGAAGCCATGCAATCCCAGAGTTTCGTGCGAACCAAAATTGTTTATCTATCTTGCAGACAGAGCAAAGCTTATCAAAAAATATGAAAATTAAACAATTTATATTGCTCGACGAAGTTGTGCTAAATGCGCCACTTCAAATATAAGATTTGAACACATCTTTACCAAAATAATAATAATAATAATAAACAGTTGTAGCTAACACGTACGATTCAATACCTCAGGCATGAAATTGGGATTACTTTATGTGGGTGCAGTATAGTATAGGAGGGATACAATACATATAAATTATTTAAATTAAATTCATCTGATAAATAAAATTATTAAATTAAATTCATATCTCATTTTTTTACATACCATTTTTTTTTTTTTTTTTTTTTTGTCAAACTGGTTTTCTTCCAAATCTGGGAAACTTGATAAACAAATCCAGAAATGAAAATTTTGTTTTCAGAGGATTAAGTTATAAATCTAACATCATCCACAAAGAGTGTATAGAAGTGAAACTGTGAATTAATTAGATATTTTATATATCTAATTTTTATATAATAAGTAGTGCTTTCAAAAGGATATTGAATATCGAAGTTATTTAGTTATAAACAATTTTCAATATACACATATTTATTCTTTCTCGAACAAAAAATTCTCGTGTATATATGTGTGTGTGTGTGTGTGTGTGTGTGTATATATATTGAGAAAAATGTGTTTAATAATTAGAGTACATTTATAGAGATAAGTAATGCTTTCAAAAGGATTGGTATGACTCTTAAAGGAATTGTACGCAGTGAAAGAGCCATTAGTTGCATGTTATCAACACATTCAATAGTCTCAAGGACAAGTCAAGATATTCGAGTTCCACATAGATGCTGGACTATGTGTCGTAGGTCGACTCTACGAGTCTAGCAAAAATACTATTTTTTGCATGTGCAGCTCTTCAAGCTACTACTCACAATGACTGTATATTTTACCCACATTACTAGTATGACCAATTGAACACTTCCATGAGTTGCTCCTGGTGCCAGTGCACTTGTCTATTCACAATGCACATACTCATCAATGTTCCTAACTATATTGGGTCCTACTGGCCAGCATGACCTTCACTATTGTACACATCATAAGATCCATTCAAAAGCATGTTGGACACTTTTCCCGTCACAAGCATTGAGGGTCACTCCCCTTAACACAACAAAATACTTGCACTCAACACTTCTTCACAGGAACTTGAGTTGGGCCATTCGCTAGTCCATGTCTCACTCATATCATATTCAATTCTACCCTGTGGATATCCTTGCCTAATTTGTCCAACTACGTAGTGTTGTACGTCGACCAAATTTCATAAAAATGAACCTGCTTTAATGCTAAAACTCATAGCCAATGCATACAAGACTCTTGGAGTGCTTGACAGTATTGTGGCCCACAGAGCATAGAGATGCTAAACAAAGAAACTTTGACCTTTCATGGATGCCTAATGAGGTTCTCAAAGCGAACGTTACTGCTAGGTTCCCGATCCTAGATGGGTACTTTAGCCATCCTACGATACACCTAAAGCATGCCATTATATGCCCAAGACCCAATAAGAAATGTACATTTAGTACATAAGGATACATGGATGTTGTCGCCTTGCTAGGACGGAAACACAAGGATGATTACTTGACAACTTACCAGGCATGTACCCTTTATAATATACCTGACAACTTTTATCCAAGTTCCACCAGTAGACATGTTAAGGGTGGATGAATCATAATTTTCAAATATTTTTCCTCCAAACTCTAAATGATGCTTTGTTTCTTCTGTCGCGAAATAATACCAAGCTTTCAAAGTTGCACCCTTAACAACACACTCGAACTCTGAGTTATTGCCCTAGGAATACTATGTCAATGCCATTGCAACATGTTTCTCCTATCGTTCACTTTGTTCCCTAACCAAACAGATTTGGATACACTTCAACTTTGGTGGAAAACTTCATAACTCATTAGGCAAGCTCTCCATAAAGTTGATTTTCAAAACATAGTTATGACTCTTTGCACAATGTATGAACATGCTACGTATTTGGCTTCCTTTATATTCAATTGCATCCGACTTTTTTAATGATCATGGACATTAGTGCCAAGCTAACATTCTGTACGTGACAATATGCCAGTGCATGCATTAAAAAAATTGAAATTGTTGACCTCGATTAATCCACGGGTGACGTAGCCAAGAGATCTCGACTCCATTTACTTCCACATAGATAGTCTCTTGCACACTTTAACAAATTGCGAGTAGCATGTAGCATTCTCTGATGGTGGAAAAGGCAGTTATGTGCATTCCAACAGTCAAATTTAGTCAACATGTATAGTATGT